CAGACTGTACCACCCCCCAACCCTGGATCATACCATGTGAACTTATATACACACACACACACACACACACACATACAGAGGCCTCTCCTCATTCTTATGCTATAACAAGCACAAATAGCATGTGTATATAGTATGCACTATAGCAATAGTATGTGTGTGTGTTAGTCTGGGCTAATTGAGTTGGTCTCAGAGCAGTCTGGGTTCTCATAACCACTGACACACACACATTCATTCACGTTACTGATATAGTTTCAATATCGCCAGCAAAAGACTTGAAAGAACAAAGCGAGGTGTTGTGTATTCAGTGACTCTTTTGTGTGAGCCCTTGTGTTTACATGGGTTTAGACGGTGTAATACCACAATTTTAATACCACAGGGGGCAGTCGTGGCCTAATTGTTAGAGGGTCAGACTTGTAACCCGAAGGTCATGGGTTTGAGTCTCAGCACCAGCAGGGATTGTTGGTGGGGGGAGGGAATGACCAGCGCTCTCTTCCAACTTCAATAATGCTCAGGGTTCAGTACGAGCTCTGTGGAAAGCGTTTGTGGCATAATGTTGATTATCTCAGAAAATAGTTTGCTTTTGGTCCTCTTTTGTAAGTTGCTTTGGATAAAAACGTCTGCTAAATGCATAAATGTAATTAATTAATGTTAATGTTAATTAAAAGAACACACTTTCATTGGAAGTAAATGAGGCCAGCATATTTTTTTTTAAAATGAATAGATTTTTAATCGATTCTATATCTATTAATATTATTTTAACATTTTATATCAAATTGTAATATAATAAAAACTCTTAAATGCACACAAGTTTATGTTAAAACACACATAAGTTACAAAAACACAGTTAGTTATGTCTGTGAAGGTAAACAGTGGGGAAAGAAATTGCATGTTTATATTAGATCTGTGTATGTGACAGCAGCGTAATATACAGTACCTATACTGCTGTCTATGCTGATAATATTACCCAAACAATAAAATAAAAACAGAAAATCACTCACTGCTCTGGACTGAATAACTTTTATAGCTTTAATAAGACAACATTTCTTACTTGAATGCTGCTTTTAAATGCTCTCGCGTGCAGATAAACATGGTGGATTGTGTGCGGCTTTCTCAGGGCGGGTCTCTGCTAATACGGCGGTGTCCGTCAACAGTCGTGGGCGGGGCCTGTAAAATGTGACATCACATTTGATAGATTCTGCGAGCTGCTTATTCTAAGACGCTGCTTATGATTTATGGGGATTTAAAAAAAAAAAAAGAAACGGGTGGATTCTTATCATTATAGGGTGGTTGTGAACACACACTGCCAACACACATTTATGTTCAAACAACATGTAAAAGTGAATTTTGCATAATAGGTGCCCTTTAACGCGGTTAGATTGTGGAAACGATTTATACTGGCTCTGGTCATCAACCAAGTGCTTTCTGACATCCAGATTTGATGCAAATTTATTCTTCTTTTCTCAGTGATTTTTTTAAACTGAATCAATTCTGTATGAGTAACACGGCAGGAAGATTTGTAAAACACCCTCACACAGCTCTAACAAGCAGCCTTCACAGCAGCTGAGCTGAAAATCTAAGCCTAAAGAGGAAAATAAATATCTGAAGGGTCATGAAGTTCAAAGACAGGATTATGATTTCTGGGAAGTACAGCTGAGAAAGACAAGAAAAATACATGAACAGTGGAAGCCAGATGTTGATCTAATAGTTTGCGCTCACAGACAGAACAACTGTATGTGGATGAGATCCAAACCCCATCCTGCACCACCTGGAGGGAATGAGAGAGAGAAATAGAGATAGAGAGCTTAGGTTTCCGTGAGATATTATGTCTTGTAAATATTTTAAGAGGCACAGCTTTAATATAGTTGAAATTCCTCTGCACATTTGAGAAAACAGCTGCTACTGAGTTGATTGAGAGTTTTGGTTAATACACTATAGACACAAGCACTATGTTGTATAAAGTACCTGATAATCATACTTAAGTACCTGTATAAGAAAAGATACCCTCATGAAGGTACCTCAAGTAAAAGTTAAAGTAACCCATGGGAAACAGTCAGAAGGTTTACTACAGTAAATGATATTTGCATGTACTTACTGTAGCATCAGAGTCCGTGGAAGAATATGAGTAAGAAAGTAAATCAGAAAGTTGACAAGTTGCTTTGGTTTCAGAATGGTTTGTGAATGAATCGTTCAGATAAACTGTAAACCAGTAACCGATTTAATCAAACTGCCTCAATAGAATGATTTATTCACAACTGTATTGTTTCATAAATGTTGTCAAGTAAAAGTATAAATCAATAAATACATTAACACTCAATTGAGGTTTATAGGGGTAACTAACATGAAGCAATGCTTTATATTTTTAGTAGCGAAACAGTAGCTTGGTAGTTTTCATAATAGTGTAGCTTTTAACTTTCATATAAGTTTTAGCAATTTTCTTATGTGATTTTGTCATTTTTGTTCGTTTTTGTTTTTTTTTAATATTTCTGTTTAGCCTTATTTTAATTTCAGTTTTAATGCATCCACTTAAACTTATTTTATTTCAGTTAGTTGCCGATACAACATTTTTAATTTTCAATAAAGTTTTTTAAGTTTTTGTATTTTGTTCAATTTTCGAAAACAATTTTAGTACTTTTAGTTTTAGTTAACAATAACAACTCTGCAAATGAAGCACGGAGAATCTGATTTATTCCAGTGAATCGGTTCATTTGGATGGTTCATGCAAATTAAGCTGTTCAAAAAGAAATTTTTCACTGATTTGAGACTCTGCAAGTACTTACATGTTCATTTCAATAGATTTTGCCCCTTTAAGTTGTGGCTAGATGGCGTGCAGTGCAACTAGATTACTTTTTCAAAGCATTAGCTTGACTGTGGTTGAACTAACTACTTTAATATGAGTAGCTTGTAGCCTGGTTAAGTTAGTGTATAGTGTACAAGTAGCTTCTTCAATACTGACACCAACACATTACTACTTCAGAAGTAATTCCATAAGACAGAGCGGCTCGAAGTTGCATCCTTCAACCTTTACAAACTCGGTCCAGAGGCAAAAGAAAATTTGGTTTGCTAAAGAGAAACAGTGTGCTTAAAAAACATTTAAATCATATCATACACATCATTAAAAAAATATGCCCACATCAGGCGGCATTTGTAGTGTAGTGAGCTGTTGGTAATCCTCAGTGAGAAAATAAAGCCTGCTTCACCTGTAGCGCCTCCAGCAGAGGAGCAAGAGAAGCAGCAGCTCCACCTAATTCACTCTCTTTGTCTGTCTGTCTCTCTCTTTCTGCAAGATTTCATGGAGTGAGATACACTCGCTCTGTTCTAAAACCCAGTGCGCTGCCTCTGTAGACAGCATATTAAGTCATTCTCGAAGTGAAAACTGTTCCAAAAAGCCAGCGATATTAAGTTGCCTTATAAGATGCATTTTGGTCATATTCTAATGCGGCCATGCAGTGTTATTTCATTATTTACAATTTTTACAGTTTTTACAGTTTTTATTAATATTTTGAATTAGTTTTATTTTTATATTTTCAGTTTTCATTTTAATTTTAGTTTAAGTTTTAGTCATTTTATGTGCTTTTGCCATTTTATTACTGTTTTTGATATTTCTTTTTAGCTTTATTTTTCTTTCAGTTTAAGCAATTTTAGTAATTCAAAATTAAAATTTTATTAATTATATTAAATATATTTATTTCCTCATTTTAATTTTAATTTTTTATTTTATTTATTTATTTAAGTATTTATTTATTTATTTATATACATTTTTTTATTTTTTTTTTCAGCTGCCATTTCAAATTTTTTGTAGTTTTTCTTCTATTTTTACTTCAGTTTTATTTAAATGAACAAAAACAATTTTTAAGTTAGTTAGTTTTAGTTAACAATAACAACACTGCCTCACAGAGAATTATAATATATACAGTATATATATATATATATATAGTTTAATTCAACACCAAAATCACTGATCAAAAATAATTCAATTAAAAATATTTGTTTAATAATACTATTTAATAATATTAATGACGAATCATTAGCTTAGCATCATGTGACCAGCAAACTCTGTTAAAGTCAAGCTTCCTGTGCGTTTCATATTTATGTGCAACACATAAATATTTTATTTATATGAGTTATTTATTTGATCATTGTATGTAAAATATACACTTTCTGATTGTCATCTTATCCTCTTTCCAGTATAAAAAATGTCACGCCTAAGGTGGGAGCGGAGGAGACCCACAACGCCATTCGCCGGGCGTTCGATGTGTGGCAGAACGTCACGCCGCTGCGTTTCGAGGCAGTGCCCTATAGCGACCTGGAGCGCAACAAGAAAGATGTGGATATTACTATCATTTTCGCCTCAGGTTTCCACGGCGATAGCTCCCCCTTCGATGGAGAAGGGGGTTTCCTTGCACATGCCTACTTTCCCGGTCCTGGGATTGGAGGAGACACACACTTCGATTCGGATGAGCCCTGGACTCTGGGGAACCCTAACCATGACGGTACGCAAACCTGGTTATTGGTGGCTAATAAACCCAGCTTTATTGGAGAATAAATCTCAGCTCTCTCTCCATTAAAGCAAATAACTTTGTTGTATGAGCCCTGCTTTTCTGGACTGCTCTAGAAAATGATGGAGTCTTACATGTTTATGTATATGTACTTGGTCAATTTCAGCTTAAATTCCTTTCAATTTAAAGCAATTGACATCTTGAGAGGGGAACTGGTTCTATGGAACTTTTGTATCAAGTAAACTAGATATTCAACAGCATAACTATATTTTGCAAGGTTTTCTGTCTGTGAAATAATCAGAACTTATTACCTATGGATAAATGTTCTGCTATTTTTCTCTGTCGCATCATAATTAGAGTTTTTCCACGCTGACCTATTATTGTTGTTGCACTGATTTACCCATCCCTAAACCGCGTGTACAAACAAAAACAAACCGTGGTCTCTTTACATACCGGTCAGATGTCTCTTCCTGTCTTGGTGGGCATTTCTTGTCAAGAACAAGCTGCAGTGTGGCTCAGACGTCTGTCTCTGCAAGACCAGCTTGTCTCTGTCCAGTGTTGCCAGATCTCTAGAAAAAATAAGAAACTCAGTCTGACAAACAAAGCCCACCCATCCCTAAACCGCGATGTTCAAACCATACCGAACCGTGGTCTCTTCCTGTCTTGGTGGGCATTTCTTGTCAAGAACAAGCTGCAGTGTGGCTCAGACGTCTGTCTCTGCAAGACCAGCTTGTCTCTGTCCAGTGTTGCCAGATCTCTAGAAAAAATAAGAAACTCAGTCTGACAAACAAAGCCCAATGTACTCAGCTCAGCAAAATATGCCAAAATAAGCATTTGTGTGGGTTGACTGTGTTAATTGTTAAATGGGATAAGAACTGGGGGCCGAAATCTAACAAGCCTAAATACTGTAAGCAGCTGTAAATAAGCCCAAAAACTGCAACATGTGACTTTACGGGGAAAAAAATAAAATACACACACACACACACATGTAAAAGTTGTTTAAAATCTGCACATTGCAACACTGCTTCTGACACCAAGTGTTCTGAATTAAAAGATATTATTTACACAGAATATATGGTGTTGGGGCGGAGCCATGGTGCTGTCAATCATTCTGCAATTGTAGCCATTAGTTCAGATGTGTCAGTTTAACCAATGTAACCAATTTCTCAAGTGGACTATTAAAGTATAACAGTGTTGCACTCAACATGCAATATCACACACAGTTCTGAAGCTTTACTATTTAAGATCACATCACCAAACCTGTTTCACAACTTAAAGTCTTTGCAAGCATTTATATAAAAACCTGCTACTTACAAACTTTATCACAGAGTAAAAAAAAAAAAAGGGTTGAATATTTCAAATGACATCATACTGTGAGATATAACGTTGAAACAAGAACCAAGTCTCAATTAAGAAATATTAAGTCACCTTTTTGAGATAAAAATATTTTGAGATATAAAGTTGCAACTGTGAGATATAAAATCGCATTAGAAAATACAAAATATTTAGTTATGATATAAAAGTCACAATTGTTAGATTTTGTTAGATTTTGACATAAAATATCACTATGAGATATAAAGTTTAAAATATAAAATATTTTGTTGTGATTTTACAAAATGCAATTGTGAAATATTAAGTCAGATTTAATATGTAAAATATTTGTGAGATATAAAGTCAGAATTAAGAGATATTAAGTCACATTTTGAGATATAAAAATACTGAGATAATAAATTTGCAGTTGTAAGATAGTCACATTTTAAAATATGAAATATTTTGTTGTGATTTTAAAATATGCAATTGTGAGATATAGTCTGATTCAGAAGTCAGATTCTACAATATAAAACATCATTCATGAGATATAAAGTCACAATTATGAAAAAATACAGTTGCAATTTTATTTATTTTTACTTTGAGGCAAAAAAGCTTCTATACTTCTATATTGTCTCCTTCAAATCTAACTGCCCTCTCCATTTCCCCTGCACTCATATTTTCTACACTTGCCATCCTGCTTTTATAGGTAGCCTTTAGGTATCTGTCTCTCTCATTCACCACATTTCAAATTGTTGTCATTTCTGCCATCTATCCTATAATAGGCGTACTTGCATACACTCACAAACACCCACAAAGCACACAGTCTACAGGAGACAACACTTCTGTGCCTCTGTCAAATCAGTCCCCTGCCTGTTGCCAGGGAGGTGGCGATCGGTTGCCGGGCACAGTTGTTATGTTTACTTTGTTGACGTGCAGCGAGGGATTACAGTTCTCAGAAGCCTCACGTGGGCCGACACTTCCACTCGCTGGTTGTGGACATCCTCTCTACCTCTCCTCCGTCTCGCTGTCTTGTCAGGGAGTTCATCTGACACAGCTCACAAGATGTTTAGTCTGGGTTAGGGGGACAAATTACAGAAAAATGCGATTTTCTCTCAATTTTCAAATTCTTACCTTCTTTTTTACTTTTATCGCCCTGCTTGGTTTCAGAAACAGACACAGAACATTACAGCTGGGCTGTTGAACTCTGTGTGTGTGTGTGTGTGTGTGTGTGTGTGT